GGGAAAGTCAGCAGTCAGCAGCGCAGTGGCGGGAACCGCAGCCCGGCGGCCCTGGAAGCTCCCAGGTCAGAGGAGCTGCGGGGCTGGGACCCGGGAGGGAGGAGCGGGGGTGCGAGCGGTTTCTCTGCTGCTCATCAGGAAGCCAGCTCCGAGATCTGCTGTGGGTATCTTTCCTTGTCGGTAAATTTTCCGTCATAACTGGAATAGTCTTGTTTTTTTTTCCCCCCATTACTTTCTGAGAATGAAATATTCTTATAAGATTAATTGAATAGAATATTAGAATTTATCTGTTGAGATTTGCAAGCACCTTTCTCTTTGCTATGGTGGAAACGACAAAGCTCTTGAAATTTACAGTCATTCCTACTAATTTCCATATTATACACTTCCATATCCAAGAGACTGGCATATTTACCTAGAGACATGGATTCGCAGAGTGCTTTCGTGTATAGTCAATGATTGTCTGAAAATTTCTTTGAATCTGAAAGAATTGTTTTGTGTGACTTCTACAGTATCCTTGTGAACATTAACTTTTAAAAGTATGCTTTTATCAAGGTTAATTTTCCATCTGAGACAGTGGGATGTAAATTCAGCGCTTTCTACAGTGTATGGTGGCCCATGTCTTTAATCCCAATACTCAGAAGGCTGAGGCAAGTGGATCAAAGGAGGATCAGTTGGAGGCTGGCTTGGTGTCCATAGTGACTTCAGGAACTGCCAGCACTGTGCAGAAAAACCCTGTTTCATGGAAACATAGAAATGAAAAAGAAATGTTAATGAATTATAGTCTAAAATAATATTGTAAAGCATCTTTTGAATAATTACAATAACTTATGTATGTCAGAAAATGTCTTCAATAACCTTTTGTTTCCTTGGTCCAAGAAAAGCACTCTGCCCATGGACACAGGATCAAACTGTTATTTATGGTTCTGTTGTTTGCTGTGTTTGAGACCTGAACTCACAGTATTGCTCTGTCTGGCCCAAACTCACCACATAGACCAGGCTGGACAGGTGTGTTCCTCCCACCTGTTTCTTCAAAGCACTAGGGTTCAAGGTGTGCAGCAACAAGATGATTCAAACTGCTGTGTTTTATTTTGTAGTCCCTTAATAGCTAGTGGCATGACTATGGGCTTCTCCCAGGAGGAGTGGCAATGCCTGGACCCTCCCCTGAGGGCTTGGTACTGGGACTGGATGTTGCAAAATAGCAGCAGAGTGGCTTTTGTGGCTACAAATTTTTTACAGTTTCCCTTGCTCTTTCTATTTGTTGACAAACTAATCTGCAAGTGTGTGAGTTTTGAGTGAATGAGTCTCACATACCACAGTGTAAAGTGAAATCCTCAAAGGAAAAAAGGAAATTTTCATGAAATATTCTCTCTTCTTGTGTGTCCCTTTGGGAGGTGTAAGCATCCATCATTATTGGTTCATGATCAATTCAGAACCTCACTAGTGTATAACAGTCTCTTTGCAATCATTCAGTACCATTTCTGCCCCTGAGGTTTGACTGAGCTGTGACTGGAAATGGCATTCAAGTTAAGATAACTGAAAATGCTTTCTCCTTGTTTTCAGTATTCTGAACCTTCAGGAAAGTTAGGGAATCATTTGTATAACCCTGTATTTAAGCTTTCCCTTCATCTACTGAACACAGTACTGTGTGAGAAATCCAGGGTCTTCCTGAACAATCTTTTTCTCATGTGCAGGGCTCACTGATCACCCAGACCTGCTCACCTGTGCAGTAGAACAAAGGGGCCTGGAAGGACAGAGGAGACAGAAGCTAAGGATACAGGTATGGTGGAGGGATTGGTGGAGGACAGGAAAGAGGATTAAGTGATGTTGGATTGGGACATGAAATCACTTTTGCCCCATCATTTCACTAGAAATAGTAGTAGAGACTCCCACTGAGGAAAATCTCAGGATTATCCTAATGTGGGCATGAGAAGAATTTTTCACAAGAATTGATAATAGAGACAAATAAAAGTTTATTTGGCTATGCATGAGAGTGATGTTGTTCTTATTCATTCCCATCATTGATCATGTTTTCATACCATTGTCGAGTCATTTTCATTTCCTTGATTTTAATATATTATAAAAATGATGTAAATTAATACTATTAGGCTTATTTATAGTTTCCAGAATTTTGGACCTTTAGTGTCCTAGCACATTCTCTTCCTTCAGGGTTTTAGTCTCCATTCCTGAAAATAATGGCAACAGAGGTTTTTTTAAATTTGAATTAGAAACAAAATTGTTTTACATGTCAATCCCCATTTCCATTTACCTCCCCTCCTCCCCTACCACCACCCCCAACTAAAACCCTACCTATCACATATCCTTTCTGCTCCCCAGGGAGGGCAAGGCTTGCCATAGGAGGTCATCAGAGCCTATCGTATCATTTGGGATAGGGCCTAGATCCACCCCCATGTGTCTTGGTTCAGGGAGTATCCCTCTATGTGGAATGGGCTCCCAAAGACCACACCTATGCTAGGCTACAAGGGGCCCCAAAGATTTCCGAGGTCTCCTCACTGAAACCCATGTTCCTGGGGTCTGGATCAGTCCCATGCTGGTATCCCAGCTATCAGTCTGGGGACCAAGAGCTCCACGTTGTTCAGGTCAGCTGTTTCTGTGGGTTTCACCAGCCTTGTCTGGAACCTTTTGCTCATCACTCATTGTTCTCTGCAACTGGATTCCAGTTCAGTTCAGTGATTAGCTGTGGGTGTCTGCTTCTACTTCCACCAGCTACTGGATGAAGGCTATAGGATGGCATATAAGACAGTCATCAGTCTCATTGTAAGGGGAGGGCATTTAAGGTAGCCTCTCCTCTGGCCAACAGAGTTTTTATAAGAATCAGAAAGTATATTTTAAGCCTACTGTGCTATACACTGCATCTATACTGTCTGCTATTGTCTGTTGGAATTTAGGATCAATATTGATAATGCAGTGAGGACTTAGGCTGACTTAGAAAGTAGTGGTTGTAGGCTCTCCTCCAGGGTCCATGCGTTTCCTATCCCTGGGGAAACTGGTTAGCTTTCCAGTACCAGGCATGTTCTCCCTCTCGTTGGGTCTTAATCCAATTAGAAGCTGTTGGTCACCACCAAGGTTTGAGTGCCTCTTTTGCATCCTTAGGGTCTTTGTGCAGTGTAGATCATTGTGGTTCCTAGATGTCATGGTTTGGTAGGGCTGTTGGCTGGTTCCCTCCATTTGAAGCTTGCATGTTGCCCTCTGGTACCATGAAAATTGGTCCCCAGGAAGGAGCCTTTACCGACAGTGCCTTCTGGTGTCCTCTAGGATTTGTTAGTGAAGTGTGTGACTTCTTCTACACTAGGGACTGAAGTTCTGCCTCTAGGAAGCAACCAAGGCAACAGCAATACCCTGTAATGTTTGGAAGTCTCTTGACAACTGTGATCTGCAACTTCAAATCAGGCTTCTTGCTCCTCATGTTGGCTGTTTTGTTAGAAATCCTGTGGCTCTTGTGAGGATCATCATCAGTGCAGTTGGGAAATTTTTATATACACTCTAAATGTATATGTATTATATGATTTTTGGGGTGGATGGGTAATACTCAAGGAAGAGATTGGTTCCTTATGAATTTTCCAGATATACTTACTGTTACTTTACCTTCGTTCTTCCGTGTTTTCCTCTGTCTATTCTCCAGTTCCCCTTGAGATCACTTGGGCTATGTTGCGCCTCTCTCTGCTACTCACCCTCACCCCACTGTGGTCTCTTTTTAGTTTTCTGGTTACTGGACTCACTCAAGGTTGTGACTCACATCTGAGGATTTGGAGCTAGGAACTTCCTATGAATGAGAACATGCAATGATGTGTTTGTGGGCCTGGTTACCTCACTCAATAGGATCTTTTCCAAGTCCATCTATTTACCTGCAAAGTTCATGAGTCCATTTTCTTGAAGACTGAACAGTATTCCATAGTATATATGAACCACATTTTCACTGTCCGTTTGTCAGTTGAAGGACATTGGTTGTTTCCATTTTGTAGCGATCATGAGCAGAGCAGCAGTGAAAATGGGGAGCAAGTATCTGTGATGTAGGATGTCAAGTCCTTTGAGCGAATATCATGGAATGGAACAGCTGGGATATGTGCTGAATTTATTTAACTTGAGGGTTTGTTTACTTAATTGAAGATTCTCTATTTTGATGTTCAGCATGGCTGGTTTTTTTGATCATAGCATTTTATTTCCTTTGTTTTTCTTTTCATGCTGTTGCTATTGGATTTTTCATAGTAGTCATTTTATTTTTGAGAAATAGTGATTTGCTGTCTTTCTCATAGATGATTACTTTCCAATTCTCCTGTAATTATCTACTCTTCCCTTTAAAGTTATTATTTCCCATGTTCTCATGGAAGATTCCTCTGACTGTCCTCTGTATGTTTTGCCTCTAATTTACTATCTGCAGTGCTGTTTTCATGAAATCATTTGTGTTGTTGGTGACTACCTGAGTTTTCATGTATTTTAAGAGAGTACTGTTTTTTCTGTACCAAGATGCTTGGTGGTGATTTTTCTCTGTAAGCTTCAAATGTCATTCCATGGTCTTCTGTCTTTAGGATCATTGACTAGACACTTGGTCATATTCTTTTTCTTGGGTCTTTTCATGTCATTTGACATTGTTCTCTAACAGGTTTCAGTATTACTCATATATTCTGACCCTTTATTTTATAGGGAAGTGAGCCATGTGTTCATTGTTCCTGAAAGAGAAACTCAAAGAAGAGAAACAGGAAGAAATTGCTATTTCTCCAGCAAATATGTCACAGGTCAGTAGTCCTTTCCGCTGTTTATGTAAATATGTTATACTCTCATTCATTAAAGGCTTTTAATTTTTTCCTTCTGATAATTTAATTTTTTTTATCAGGATCAATTCTATGAACAGACAACTCACACTGCAATAAGCAGACCCAAAGTCTATAAAACTCAATGTAGTCTATACAGGCAGAGTCGTCACAGGGCATAGAAGCTCTGGAGCCTCACATGGGATTTCATACTTCACAATCCAATATATTTTGATTTGCTTATCCACAACCCAAACCCCAAAAACCTTTGACTGAATTAGAACTAGACAAGCTCTTAGATTAATATCCTTTTCCATAACTGGATTCATTACCTGCATTCAGTCCCTGGTAATTTAACCTTCCTGTTCTCTTTTCTCCAAGTTATACTGTGTCCTCATTAACATTTTTCCTATGTACACATGTGATTGGGAGATAATGCACGTGAGCAAAAACATTTTGTTTTCTTTCTAAAAGTGATGACTGCAATTAATATTACATATTTTGCGTCTGTCCATTTTCCTGCAAATTTTAATTTTTTCCCCTTCTGCTGGATTGTACATAGTTTTAAACAATTTTCATAATCCTTTCATTCATCTGTTGATACCTAAAGCATTGATTCTACTACTTTCCAGTTTGTGATAAAAACAGCAGTAAAGTTGGGTATAAATATTTCTATAGTAGGGTGTGTTGTTCTCTGGGTATATGGCCAGGAGTGAAAGAGTGTCATATGTTAGTTCTGTCTCCATTTTCTTTCAGTAATTACAAACTGTTTTCCACAATAGCTGTATTAATTTACACCCTCCCTTCCATCAACAGTGAGTCAGGCTTCTTTCCTCTCCCTATGCCACCTCACCTTTATTGTCAGTTTAGTTGATGACAGCCATTCTATCTCCAGTGACTCAATATTTTCACTACTTTTAATTTGCATTTTCATGGTCCTTTTTGTGGTCCTGAGGACTTTTTCAGTATTTATTGGTCAATAGAGTTTCAGTCTTTGAAAAGTACCTGTTTAGCCCATTTCTTGATTTGCAATTTTATTTCATCGGTATTAAATTAATTTATTTTTTGGTAAATTCTTGCTATTAGCCTTATTCAAAGTTTCACTGGTGTGGATTCTCTTACCTATATCTTAAACATTTTTGGATGTATTTCTTGGAGTTCCTCCTGTTTGTGAGTGAAGTGAAATACTATTAAAAACTTCTGAAATTGTCATTTGTCTCTGTTGGCTTTTGCATATTCTTAGAGAATTTTTTAAAATTCAATCAAATATTGCCAATGCAGATTTTTCTCTGTTCCTACTGGCCCAAATCTTGTCATAAAATTAAATCCATAGGCTACTTACCTTATATGTCAGTATTAAAATTGATAGTATGTAGTGCTGTTACAATCTCTGCTACTGTGGGAAAAATCCAAAACTCTCCTCTATAAAATTAATCATATATTCTGCTGTCTATACCTTCCTCTTTCCTAATTAATGGTGTGCCATTGGACCTAGAGTGTAAACATCCCACCTGACTCTGTTAGTATAGAGTCATGTATGCCATAAATACAGACAGGATTGATATGTGTCAGTGTTTTCAAATGATCTACAGGTACAACATTTAAAGCAGAGACATGTATAATAAGATCCTATGTGACATAAACACCACATCCATAACAGATAGATAACCATGTCTAGACCTTGAATTTATATCCTGTTTCATGTATACTGCTTGTAAGACTGGTGTTTCATCCTGTTTTTACAGAGTTACATCAGTGAGGACAGAATGTGACTGTACTGAGAAATCATATTTTTGATTAATTAATTATCTTAGCTCCTCTACAACTGTGTTACATCAGTCATGACAGAATGGGACTGTACTGAGAAATCATATTTTTGATTAATTAATTATCTTAGCTCCTCTACAACTGTGTCCTTATAGCCAGGAAAGCACATCCAAGTAGCACTTGGTCAAACCATTCTTTTGTGTTTCAGGGTGTGTTGACATTCAGGGATGCAGCTTTGTTCTTCTCCCAGGAGGAGTGGGAATGCCTGGACTCTGCTCAGAGGGCTTTGTGCATTGATGTGATGTTGGAGAATTACAGCAACCTGGTCTTTGTGGGTGAGAATATTTTGCTTGTTGAATTCCCAACCCGTCTTTTGTTTGTTTTCACTGAATAGGTTGTAAAATCTGTTAAGGCATCCTGAAAAAAACAAAGAGGAGACAGGGTAAATTTAGTAGTTTGGAAGAAATTTTGATGCTATGTAGGTTTCTCTTTCCAATTTAAGTTTCACTTTTATTTCATCCCAAGAATTATCCAAAGACTCAGTAGCATCTAACATTTCCACTCATTTCTTAAAGCTCCTTGTCCAGTATTGCAATAAACATCTTTTTAATTGTGAGAAAAATTCAAGATAAATAACATGGAAACCACCATATATACTGAGGAATTTGACTAGAAATATCATTCTAGAAAACTTGTTTAAATTTCTCTGCTTTCTGTTTTCATATACTGAGCACAGTACTGTGTTAGACTTCTGCATTATTTCTAAAAGTTCTAGTATGGGTTATAGACTGCCTGAAAGAACGGGTGGATTATTGTATGCAAGGAAATCTTGATCACCTGTGCGGAAAGAATGAGATTTCCCGGGAATGTGGAGAGAATGAGTAGCCACAAATTGAGTGGACAGTGAATGAGCAAAAGAACAGTGAAGGCTTCACGTGAAAGAGAAAGCAAGAGATGAGTTTTTGTTGTTGTTGTTGTTTGATATTCAATTCCATTTGATATGATTTCTGGTCTTTTAACTTAGTGTAGTGTCCTGGCTGCAGGATACATCCTATCTGTTGTAATAACTGTCAGAAGGCTTTGTGTCTTATTACACATATATTGTGCTGACTTAATACTACTAAAAAAGGCAGTTTTATTTGACTGTGCTGAAATTGGAATGGAATAATTTTTCAAACTTTTAAGTCTAACTTGGATCTTTGAAGTAATGTCATTCTCTAATTGCCTTCCTTGTATGCATATCTTCATATCACATCCTTCTTTCTATCCCCATGATGGATACACATACATCCTGTGGGAAATAATTTCAGGAGTCAGAGTGGACCTGAGAATAACCCTATGAGGAAAGTTAGGAAACACAGTGGTGTGTGCAGCTCTGAGAATAACTGACAGAAATAAGCAATAGCTGCTTGCACGCCAGAAGAAGGTACCAGATCTTAATATGGGTGTTTGTGAGCCACCATGTGGTTGCTGGGAATTGAAATCAGGACATCTAGAAGAGCATTCAGTTCTGTTAACATCTGATTACTCAAGCTCCCCATGACAGCCCTGCCTCAAATGAGCTAAAGCCTGTTATGCCTGGCAAAATATTGTCTTTTCATCCATTACTATGTATATATACTATAAACTTGGATTGGATTACACACATCTTCATCAATTTCTGAGAAGGAATATTTAAAGATAGAGACAGATATTGTAAATATCTGTGAACTTCATCCTACAGCTATTTCACGGCCATCAATTATTTTTTTTCCATCTTTTTGCAGTTAGAGAGTTTTGGTAAAGATGAGATATCTGTTATAACTCACTGACCTTTGAAGGCTGTCATGCTGTGTTTGTGAGAATCCATACAATTATAGTGAGTGAAAAACTGTCCATTACTTGAGCTCTAATCTCAATAGTTCCTGTTTCACCTATGTTAAATGACAACTTGGGAAAACAGTCATTATCACATATTTATTATTGGAACAAGCCCTATTAATCTGAAATGTACTCATTTTCAGAAGAATATTGCAAGTGTGATCCTGTCCATCAACATGTGAAGACTGAAAAGGAGTCTTGTCAGTGTAATGAGCTTGGCAAAGTGCTTCATGACCCCTCCACTTGTGCACTTTATAGAACAAGTGAAACTACAGAAAACTCCAATAACTACACATGCAGTAATGACAGTGATGCCTCTGTTGACTCATCAAACCCAGACAGACATGAAAGCATGCACACTGGAGAAGAACCTTGCCGATCTAAAGAGTGTGAGAAATCTTCAAATTTGTGTTCCAACATTACTCAAGATGAGAGAGTCTACACTGCAAAGAAAGAGTGCAGACAGGAAGGTGATGATTCTTTGAGCTCTGCAGCCAGGCTTTTGCAACAAACAATCTACACTGAAGAAAATGCACACCAGTGTGGGAAATGCAAGAAATGCTTCAGGACTGACTCTGACCTCGCTGATCATGAGAGAATTCATCCTGGAATTAAACCCTGCCAGTGCAACATTAGTGGAAAATCCTTCACTCAGAATTCTGCCTGTATAACACACCAAAGCCTTCATACTGTGGAAAATCCTAACACATGTATGGAAGGTGACAAGTCCTTTACTTGGAACTCACAATGTAGAAGACAACAGAGCATTCACACTGAAAAGAAACATCACAGATACATGAAATGTGACAAATTCTTTGCACAGGACTCACATCCTAGAAGATGTCAGAGAGTTCAAACTGGAGAGAGACCTTACAAATGCACAGACTGTCACAAGTCCTTTACCCAGGACTCAAATCTTAGAAAACATCAGAGAGTTCATACTGGCGAGAGACCTTACAGTTGCAAGCAATGTGACAAGTCCTTTACCTGGAACTCACAACTTAAAAGACATCAGAGTGATCACACTGAGGAGAAACCATACAAATGTATTGAATGTGACGAGTCCTTTACCAAGGTATTACATTTTATAAGACATCAGAGAGTTCATACTGGAGAGAGACGTTATAGTTGTCAGGAATGTGACAAATCTTTTACCTTTTGCTCAGGTCTTAGAAGACACCAGAGAATTCATACTGGAGAGAGACCTTACAGTTGTGAGGAATGTGAAAAATCTTTTAACTGTTCTTCAGGTCTTAAAAGACATCAGAGAGTTCATACTGGAGAGAGACCTTACAGTTGTATGGAGTGTGACAAATCCTTTATCCAGGTCTCACTTCTTAGATCACATCAGAGAGTTCATACTGGAGAGAGACCTTATAGTTGTTTGGAATGTGACAAATCCTTTACTGGTTGCTCAGATCTTAAAAGACATCAGAGACTTCATACTGGAGAGAGACCTTACAAATGTATACAATGTGACAAGTCCTTTACCTGGGATTCAGATCTTAGAACACATCTGAGAATTCACACTGGGGAAAAGCCTTACAAATGTATGCAATGTGACAAGTCCTTTACCTGGAACACACAACTTAGAAGACATAAGAGTTCACACTGAGGAGAAAACCTTACACATGTATTGAATGTGAAAAGTCCTTTACCAAGATGTTACATTTTATAAAACATCAGAAGGTCCATTCTGGCAAGAGACCTTGCAGTTGTAAGGAATGTGACAAATCTTTTACTAGATGCAAACTATTAAAACATATCAGAATATTTGTATTGGAAAGAAGCCTTACAACTGTCAAGACTGACATATCCTTTATCCATAATACAATTCTTAAAATATAGAGAGAAAAATACCATTGTAAATACTGTGACATACCATTTTCTGGTATTCTCTGCTTGCAAATAACAACAGTATATATAATAGGAACATAAAGATAAGAAACTTGTGAAAACCTTTAGTGAGGTTTAAATCTTAGAAAGTATCACAGAGTTTATGCCAAATTAAAATTCTCCCATTAGCGGGGCATTAGTGGTGCATGCCTTTAATCCCAGCACCCGGTAGGCAGGGGCAGTTGGATCTCTGGGAGTTTGAGACTAGCCTGGTCTACACGAGCTAGTTTCAGGATAGGCCCCAAAGCTACAGAGAAACACTATCTTGAAAACAACAACAACAAAAAAATTCTCCCAATGGTACTGCAATAAAAGCTAAGTATTTCTTTTACATGTATGTGTGTTTTGCCTGCTTGTTTTACTGTGAACTCTATGAAGTCCTGGTGCAGGTGAAGGCCAGAATCCCCAAAACTAGAGTTCCAGACGATTGTTAGCTGCTGTGTGTGTTGGTAATCAAACCTGTGCCCTCTGAAAGAGCAGCCAGGATTCTTAACCACTAAGTGATATCTCCTGCCCCTGGGAAAAGCTGTCATAAAAATGTTTGTCTTTTGTTCCACATCCAAAGATTCATAACAGTGCCAGGAATGATATGCAAGCTTTTAAGCCCACACACAGGAGACTGGGTTAAGAGGCTGTCTGAGTTTGAGGCCTTCCTGATGTTCAGAGTGAGTTCCAAGACAACAAGGATTACATTAACCCTGTCTCTAAACAAAAAATCATAATGCAGATAAAATTTAATTTTGTCTCTAAATTTGCTGTGCATCACAAAATTCATGCTTCTGACCAGCCATATAAAAAATACTCTGATATTTCCAGTCATCTTGTTTATTGGATATTATCTCCCTGAAATGCATTTAATCTGACAGATCCTTTACCTAGTGCTGAAATTAGACATACACACAAAAAAAAAAAAATTCAAGGGTTACCCCACACATAAACCCTCTCCCCCTCCAATATTTCAATTTTAATAATCGATGCTCAAGAGACCACAAGAAACAGCTTGTGTGTTGGGGGAAAGGGAAAGGGGTGTGGTTAGAGGGAAACAGCCTGTGAGAACAGGAGTTGCCATAGAGAAGACAGATGTTGAGACAAATGGAGACAGACAGACAGGCCAATAAGAAGCAGAGGGAAATAGCAGAGATAAGCCAGGCCCATATAAAGGTATCTTAGTGAATGTGCACAGGTGTTGCTCTTGGTGGCTGCAGCTATGGGCATATCCTGCCAGAACCCCAAGGGCAGGACAGTACAGATGCCTGAATACAAACACCTGCCCAGGACTTATTTACCATTCTGGTTGGGGTGTTGAGACCTGCTGTACTTTTTTCCCATCCACTGGTGATGTCTATTGTACTTGTGGATGCTTTGCTTCCATTATGTGTGCATGTTGGTGAGATTATAGAGATGTCGTTTCTGGCATTACTAGGTGTGATGGCTACTCTCGGTAGTCAACTTGACATCATCTGCAAAAACTACAATTCAGAAATGGACAGCACACCTGTGAGACATTACTTTTACTTTCTTAAAGGGGGTGAATCCACTTGCAGTTCAGACCTTTGAGGCTGGAAGACACACACCTTTGAAAATGATCTTGAGGCTGAAACTAACACCAGTAACATAAGGCACACCTTGTCCTGGAAGCCTCTATGAAGACAGAGAAGAATAAAGTATTTGGGTCATTGTCTTCTTGTTGGGTCATCTCTTTGCTAGCACATCCATTCCTTCACTGGCATTGAACCCTATTTTTATTGGATTTAGTATATACTGAAGACCAGCTGAATCATCCAGCATTGTGGAGGGAGCAAGTACTGGAGTTTTGGATTTTCTTTGCAGCTTGTCACTAACGGATTAGATGGACAGCAGCCTCTAACTCACTCCAGTAAAC